CACTCCAGTGTTCTAATGGTACAATGTGTTTGCTCATTGGCTCAGAAGGCTAATTGATGATTAGAAAACCCTTGTGCAATCATGTTCACACATCTGAAAACAGTTTAGCTCGTTACAGAAGCTATAAAACTGACCTTCCTTTGAGCAGATTGAGTTTCTGGAGCATCACATTTGTGGGCTCAATTAAACGCTCAAAATGGCCAGAAAAAGAGAACTTTCATCTGAAACTCGACAGTCTATTCTTGTTCTTGGAAATGAAGGCTATTCCATGCAAGAAATTGCTAAGAAATTGAAGATTTCCTACAACGGCGTGCACTACTCCCTTCAGAGGACAGCACAAACAGGCTCTAACCAGAGCAGAAAAAGAAGTGGGAGGCTGCATTGCACAACTGAGCAAGAAGATAAGTACATTAGAGTCTCTAGTTTGAGATATATATATATATCAATCATTTCATGAGGAAAGGCTATATATATATATATTACCTTTCCTCATGAAATGATTGTGACAGTCTGATTTATTTTTGATGAAGTGTGTATCACATATCACAGGAAAAATTGCACCACAATTAACTTTTGCAAACTGTGTATTCAGGCTCAAACTAAATTGAGGGTATTGAACAATGGGATTAAGGGTTTTGTTTACATTTTTCAACCTTGGTCAAGTTAAGAGGAAACACATATTCGAGGGGATTTCATGCATTAGAATGTCCAGTATTACTCTTTCAAATGTCACTCAGTGACTAGTATTGAGTCTGGCCACCCCTGACATGATCAAGGCATTAAGGCATCGTGGCGTACTGTCTACAAGCGTGTTGATGGTGTCAATGGGCAGGACGTCCCACTCTTCAGTCAGATCCAGAAGTCAGAATTGGTTTCACCTGATAACTGGGACTCAGTATGTAATCATTGCACCTGGTCAGAAGGTCAATTACTGAAATGCATAAATAGGAATAAAAAGAGGAATGTGTCTAAAAACAAAGTATTTAAACTTAATGGGAAATGGTGTATTATATTAAAATTGTTCTATTAACAAATTAAAGCTTGAAAACCGAACAGTTGTTGTAAGCATAGGCGAAGGGAGAGGAGGGGCCACAGGGGCCATGGCCCCTGCTGGAATCTGATTGGCCCGCTCTCGGCCCCTGGTGAAATAACTGTCTTGTCATTGGGTTTTTCTTTGAGGAGCGCTAGCTGGTTGTTACAGCGCAGCTTCATGGGGGCGGGGTGAACAGAGCATTATGTTAGTGTTTGTGACGGGAGCGGCTGGAAAATAAAACAAGCACACCTCTTCTCTCACGTCCACTCTGCACTGACGAACACTGAGACGGTGAGGGTCAAATTCAAATGTGCAGTAAATTGAACACAAACGAGTTACTGATATGTTTTATCTTGACTTAGATTTACCCATTATCTTTACTTCATCATTTAAAATTTTGATGACAAAAAGTTGATGTTATTGGGTAGAGAAGCTGATGAAACGGGCCAACTAGATGGTAAATAACCATCAATGGGTTTCTGCATTATGTGACAGGAAATCTTGCAACAGTGTTTTTTTCTTCTTTTTTTTGAAACAAGGAAAATCTGCTAACGTTAAATGAAGACACTTTACACAGAGATGTTTTGGGAGCAGCCAGGGCATTCCCAGTCCCAAGTTTAAGTCACAACTGAATGGTGTCATTTAGCCTCTGTTACAGCAGCATCAGGGCTGCCAGTAATGTCAGAAAGAGGAGCAGCCAGCATGGTTAGTTATCTGAACCCTGTTCAGGACTTTCATGTTGCCATTCGTAGAAGGTCTTTGGGGGTCCATTGGACCCCAAGAAAGAAAATGTGCAAATAATTGTTGGTATTCATTATAGGCTTTTATACGATGTTAAATACATTTTCTGATAAGTTGACCTATTTTTGGCTCCAAATGCATGACAAATGTCCCTCTTTTTATATTTAACAACTAAATCTTTAAAAATAAAAAAACAATACCTGTCACCTAAACTAAATGGCCTGGGGTCCAAAAGACCCCAAACGTCCTGAACAGAGTTAAGAAGAAGCCATGTGAGGGTCAGACCAGTGAACCAGACAGGTTCAGGGGGACAGTTCTGAGGACAGGCATCCAAAGCAGGACCAGTCCAGCAGCTGTAGCCCATCATCAGCACCAGGTGAAAGGCAGGACAGACAGACATTCCTCAGAGCAAATGAAGAACAACATTGTTAATATAAAAGAGGAAAGCATTGTGTTTATGTGTGTATTTACATGTATCTATCATTGTAATGTACCTTGAGCCATCAGGCTGTTATTAACATTAGTCTTCACTGTGAATCAGTTTGAGTGTCATGAGTTGCTTTTAAAAGAAGCAGTTATTGTACATTCCATATTGTACAAGTATGTTCTGACCAGAAACCTTTTCCAGATCATGTTTATTTTGTTAGATCTATTTAATCAGGTTAGGTCTATATTTAGTCATACAATGTGAGTACAAGTAAAGAACACTTCTTGAGAAATTGCTATAGGCTACATCTACGAATAACGCAGTAATTGGATGCCATCCAAAATATAGCATTGGCCCCCTATTGGCCCCCCCTAAATATAAAACCTAGAATCGCCACTGGTTGTAAGTGATGGCTGCTCCTCTACGTGCTGGTGCTGGTGCACAGAGACAATTAGGGGATAGTGTGATCCAAACTGTGATCCAAAACAAACATCTCCGTACTTCCTGCTTTGCTGCACGTTACTTACCCTCATGAGTGTGTGTGGTACGTGTGGTTAACTCTGTGCACTTTACTGTACAGCTCTACTCTGACCATAGTTCATGGCAGCAGTGTTGCAGCAGCAAAAAGACTACAGGGTAACAGGGTTTACACAACCTCTTTCCTGATTTGGTGACTCGTGATATGAAAGATTCACATGGACTCCACGAGCAGATGGGACAAACCTGTGCCAAGTCAGTTCAGTTCAGTTCAATTCAGTTTCAAGTTTTCAAGACATCCTTCTAATAAGGAATAACACTAGTTTGCTTTGTGTCATCTGGCTTCATAGATAAATATAGCTGAATGTCATCTGCACAGTAATGCTATTCCATGTAATGTTTCCTGGTGATATTACTCAAGGGGAGCATGTACAAGGTGAATAGTGTTGGTCCTAGCACAGAACCCTCAACAAACTCCACAAATATGTGTCTGTTATGGTGATCAAGTCTCAACACACTGCAATCTTAGAAAGCACATGCAAAAAGACAAACCATGAAATAAGAGAAAAACCTCTTTGCCATGTTGACAGCACATAGGCACTATTTAGAAACCCGGCTTCAACACACGAAACATCAGCAATTACAAACACAGAGCTTACACACATGTGCTGCAGTTACAGAGTTTGCAGGGGAAGCTTATATCAACCACTTTTCAGAGCTGTTGGAAAATGAGACACAATAATATGTTTCAGCTTATCCTGATGTCAGAACATGAATATAATCAGACATATAAACCTGGCATTATCTCATCAATGTTTACAGTCTGATTGTGTGCTATGGTACAATACATTTGCTATGATGCACTGACACCAATGCAACATCAAAAAACCAACACTATAAATTCCCTAGTTGACCAGCAGGTATATGCACGGTAAGCTCTGACATTTTTTGCTGTGACACTATTGCTCTCATAAATAATACTAATTACAGACACTGTCATGGAGTATCAGTGGGAAAATTAGTGACAGCATTGACTGTGTGATAAGCACACACAACTAGGTCAAAGGTTCTGGCTCAGAGCCTCATTTGACTTCATGAATATTCAGCTGCTGTCACCCTGTGGGTGGAGAGTGTGGGGTTATAAATGACCACAGTATCCTGTAAAGGTGTTTTCTTACTACAAACTGGAGCTCATGAGTAGAGTGAAGCGGTGACAAGAACAAACAACAAACTACTTCACAGTAAGTTGCTTTTTCTTTTTATGGGACATTATTGGTCAAAAATATGTTGTGCAGTGGAGCATTAGAATATGTTTACAATAGTGGATTTTTAAATAGCTAAAAGCTACAAGGTCCACAAACACTTTTGTGTCAATTTTGCTTGCATTGAGTTTGTTTTTCTATTTGTTCTAAAACTGAAGGTTCAGTTTTAATATGTCTGAAAAACAAATGAACCAAAGTGGTCAGTTTCTAAAGCTATGGGGTACTTCAAAAAGTTCTCAGCTTCACCTGAATACAAAGGGCATAACTCCTCTTTTGGGGCATAACTGTGTGTTATAAAACCTTAAATCAGTGTCCATTAAAATTCAAGTGTTTAAAGCAATCAGAGAGAAAAGGAGAGAAAAGCTCTGAGCTGGCTGCTGCTGCTCCAGGACGATGCACCTGTCACACAGCACAGGAGGCGAAGCAGCCAAATGTAGCTTAGAACTGTTGCTCCATCAACCTAACTCACCGACCCGGTGCTGCCGGACTTCTGTTTCCAAACTGAAATCACACTTGTGTGGTCCCTGTTTCCAGAGTGATGACAAAGTCATTACTGCTGTTGAGGAGATTCTGCAAAGATGTGACCTTCCTCTGTGAAGGGATAAGGAAGTTTAAGGATAGGGATAAGGAAGTCAGTGGACCAAGTGCACTGAAGCTAAAGGAGGAAAATAAATAAACAGCCTTCCTCCTGTGGGTTTTATTTTTTTATTTTTGTGAGGACGGGAACTTTGTGAAGTACCTTCGTAAATAGTCACGGCTGTGCATTTAGCAATTAAGTAAAGACAATATCTGAAGATTTGTAATCTCAGATTCTAACATGTATTCATTGCAAGCTCCACAACGAAAAGAGTTAGTGTAAATTAAACAGAAATTTTCCCCGTAGAAAGGGTATAGTTTTACAAGTTTAGCACTTTTACCATTAAATAATTCAGAAATAATGCCTTAGATTGTATAAATTACCAATATGCCTCTTTTTTTTCAGGTCTACACACAGCATCTTGTATCTGAGCTGAAGCAGACATCGTGGAAATGGAAAACATTCAGGAGCTGATCCCGTTTGCCAAAGAAATGCTAAGTCAGAAACCCAGCCGAGGTCTGCTGAAGGTCTACTTGGTGGGCTCGGTGTTTGCTGTGCTGGGGACAGTCATCGGGCTGGTTGAGACGGTGTGTTACCCCTTCCTCGTCAGTCAGCCAGTGGATGCAGAGATGGAACTCATGTTAGCCAGGGAGCAGAGAACTGCTGAATTTGAGACACAGTGCTCCTTGGGAGACCAGGGCAATGAAAAGGAGGAGGAGGAGGAGGAGGAGGAAGAATTTGCTCATGAAAATGGGGACAAGGCCCAGAGCACGAGTGTCTCCAAAGCTCACAGACTCAGCCAGCGAAGTCTCACCAACCGACTGCACGCTTCTTAAAACAACCCCAAGTGACTCAAGATATTTATAAGGAGACTGCTCCTGCCACACCACTGAGGTGTGCAACTTGCACACGATCTAAAGCTTAATAGAGGAATGAATGAAAAGTGCATGAGCTGCCATTCTGTGCGTTTCTTTGTATGCTTTTATGTATTGGGCACACATGAAAGGACCCAATGACTTGGAGGAGTTTAGACATTTTGAAAGGTCGATCATGACAACATGGACATCGTGTTGATCACATATTAAATGGGATAGGTGAAGTGGTGGGACAATGGTTTTGTGGAACATGAAAAATATTCCTGTTGGAAAATGAATAAATGCATGTAGTAGAAGGTGGATATTCATGCCTTGAGTAAACTTCCTGTATCAAGCAGCAGCCTGTAAAAGTTAGTAGTCAAAGTTACAAGATATGAAAAGTTTGAATGAGCACACAAACCAAATTTAAACACAAAGTTTGGTTTCTAAAAGAAAAAAATGCATAGTTAGGATTGCATGGAGTACCTGAAGTGGTATGTAGAGTCTGCTGTTGAGTTTGTCTGGCTGCAGTAAGCTGCTGTGTAGCACCACCTGTTGTCAGGTAGATGTATCTGAGCTGCCACTCCACCTACATACTGGGTTAAAAAAGAATGGAGGATTTATTGTAAATATTGTGTTATGTTCAAACAATGTAAATATACCATTTTTCCATAAAAAGTTTGTTTTATTTATTAAACCTGGTGTCGCCTGTTTTGACTCCTTTAAGCACCACATATCATGCAGGTATAGCTTGAACCAACACAGACCACTTAAATGTTGGAATAAACCTGCTAGACACCAGGCTTCTGTCTTATTTATTACATTTCTTTGTTTACTAATAAACATTCTGACATTTAAATTAACTATTTAATGAAAGGTCATACACTCATAGATTTGTACATACCCATATTAAAATCTGTCTGAGCCACAACACTGACTGGGTGATGCCTCTATCGCCCCCCAAAAAAGCAGGCACTGCTGAATGATCTATCATGGATGAATACTTGTATGCATCACTGGAACATTAAATAGTAGTTAGGGAAGTCTACAGTATAAGTTAAGTTTGTATTAGTCATGTCGTACACATACTGTGAGTTTTATACACATTTCATCTTTTTCTTTCCTCCTTCCTCGGCATTACAAGAGCTTTTGTTTTTTCTCACAATTTACGTTCCATTTCTGTGACTAACATTAATGAAATGTACCATTTAGCAATGAGTGCATTAACCAAAAGGCTCTGAAAATGCAATGCTGTACTCTGTTAAATTTACAGAGATTCGACAAGGCTTTTTTTGTTTCATGCTGATCAACAGGGGGAAAAAATAATTTAATTTCAAAATGTAATTCGGTCTCTGTGTGCAACGATATCTAAACAAATCACACATATAAAACCAGATTTTTATTTGCACAGGTATACATTTTAAAAGGAGATGACGCTACATACTTTTACAAGTGATGTAATCACCTAAATGAAGTCCACCTTTGTGTAGTCAAGGAAGTTCATTTGTTCGGAGTAAAATACACCAGGATCTGAACAGTTCAACTTTTGGGAGGCCGCTTTTGTGAAAACCAACACCATTATATTGATGAAACCGGAAAATGCATAGCACAGCTGTAGCTGCTGACAAGGTGGTACATATATGTATAGCACAGTGCAAAAATTGAGATTCTCCTCCAACATGTAATATTATCAGGTTGGCATCTGATCATCCTGAATTCATTCCACAGCAGGACAACGAGCCCAAACATCCAGAAAGACTGAGAATAACAACAAGTCCTGCCACAGATGGTATGGACTCTTTAGAGCTCTGATCTCAGCATCATGAAGTCAGTCTGGGATACATGAACAGACAGAAGGCACTGAGACAGACTGAATCCACAGAACTGTGGCAAAGGATATAGGAGTGAGCGGAATAACTAAAATAAACCAGGGTCTATTTGTTTTACTATTGATTATTGAAGGAACTGCTTTAAACAGCCTCTCCTCCTTTACCATCAAACACCAAGAGGCTGTCCCAAGATACAACAATTGTGCTGATGCTTATTCAGAGGGAGCTTCCAATCATTACAAAATAAGGGACAGGAGCGAGAAAGAGAGTCGTGTAAGTTCCAATAGTCCTTTTTTTGATGACAGTGAACACAGCTGATTGAACCAAGCTGACGAATGATGCCATCAAATAAAGAAGTGATTTTGGATTTTTGTTTTCACCGCTCTAATCATGAAGTTAACTAATGAAAGCTATCCATGGCATCCTGACTTTACTTTTAATGCCTAAAACATTTGCACAGTACATCTTGAGACAAACACTGTGTCCCTTTTCACTTTTCTTTCTGTTAGTTTATATTATTTGTTCATTCATTTAACTTTTATCAAAATCTTGAGAATTTATTGTCAGTAATGTAGACACTACAGTCAAAGAGAATAAATAGTAATATTTTAATGAAAACAACAGCAACAAAACAGAACACAGTCTGTAATCATGGTTTTTGTATTCCAGGTCACTGCTCCTG